GCGAACTCAATGTGGCCGAAAGTGTCGGATTTCTTTTTTTTATCAAAGTCTCACAAGAATTCGAATGTTCAGTTCAATATTCATTTCTATTTTTTCATTCGAAAGATTATCATAAAAACAAGATGAACATCAAGAATCGATCGACTAAAGATGCATTAGAAAAAACTCTTACACGTGAGTCGTCTCCATCGTTGCTGTTGTAGTCGATTCGGGTTGTGGCATTTTCTCTATACGAATATTCACTTCTGATCGAGTTCAGTGAGTTCAATCGAATGTTAGATCACAGACACGCTTATAAGCAGAAAAAGAAAGAGAATCTACTGCAAGTTTTTTTCCTGTTCTGTTCGTCACATAGTTAGCTGCACAGAACGCATTGATAAAAAGATTCATCTCTCTTCTTCGAAGAATACAAAACACACTCAATACTCGATTACAGAGGAATGAGGATAGTTTTTTTTTCACACATCGAATCTCAGTTTTCTGCAGAAATTGTCTAAAGATAATATCTGATGTACAAATTCTTCGGCAAAATTCCCTATGTCGATTGGATTTTGAAGGAAAAATTTCTTCCTAAATCATCCTTTTGTCCTCTCTGATAGGCAGATAATAGAGTCAAGCAGGGAATTGGATACATTAACAATAGACGTGGAATACTCGAATACTCACATCGAAAGTACCTATAAAACTTGTGTTTAGTATAAAATGTCCAACATCATCATTTTTTGCCTCTGGTCAATATTATTTTGGATCAAAATTCTACGAGATGATCAATTCTACCGTTGTAGGGTGTGGGTGTGGACGTGGTTTGGGATGACAACAGCACTCACACTCACACACCCACACCCTCATATATACGTCGATATATCTTAGAAAATTAAATAATCAATATAGTACCAAAAAAAAACGATGACTTTTGAGCCTATTTGACCATATCATTTTTACTTTTCTCATTTATATTACAAAAATTATTTTTCAAAAGTCTAAAATGAATTTAGGATATGTTGTAGAGCATTAAAAGACGCATCTTTTCATATAAATATATTCTGATCTAAAGTACTAGAGTGGTTTGCCGTCAAAAATTTAGGATAAGGAGTTATTTCTTCAATCGCTTTTCTTACAATGATTTTTTGTTATTTTACGATTATACTTGGATGTTTACTAGAAAACATTGTGAACTATAGAATTATATAAAAATACTAATAAATCATCAAATTAACTGTATAGAGAGGATAAACAATAGGTTTTGGTGCAAAAAAAAAAAGTGTAACAGAAGTTTTGTCAATTTTTAAAACATATTTATTTCAATTTCTTTCATAGAGATAATGATTGATCTATCTTGAAAAATGGCATCTTAACTGACTATGAACTACTTAGTCACTGAGTCCAGATGTGTTCTTCGAAAGATTCCTGGTTAGTAAAAGACTATTCAATATTATACTATGCATCCATATTGATTTCATCATCTTCCTCTTGATGATTTTCTTTTTTCGTCTACCAATTCGTATTTGTTGGCATTCTTTCTATCATTTAGGGCCCCTTCAGAAACGATTTTCCACTTAAGATGGTCCTTTTGGGCTGAAATTTTTAGGAATGAGTGATCTTGGAGAGATACACTTCTGGTAAAAATTTTAGCTCGATTGGTTGCACTAGACCGGATTTCCAGCTGATTCACAGGTCATTTTTGACCTTCAGGAGAATCGATATAACTTCGTCGTAAGATGGGGTAGAAAGCTCTGGGTGGTGTCAAATTAAAGCCAATGTGAGTACGCAACTTTTGTCCGAACAGAATTTTGAAATTCAATCTCATTCATTTTTTATGAGCATTTTAGTGAGATGGTCTTAAAATTAGCATAAAAAATGGTGGTCCAACGACAGTAAATCCCACTTTTCTCAGTCCAGGAACCAACTATAAAAAACCCGTTCGGACAAAAATTTACTCTCATTAAGACCTTTAAAACAAAAAAAATTATTGGTTATAGCTTGAGACAAGACGGAGTTATTTCAATTTTTTTGTCTGGAAACCGTATTTTGAGAAAAACGCTAAAGAAATTTTAGAACTGGATTTTTTCATTCAAATCCAGAAAAAAATCATATCACAATGGTATATTATTAATTCATTCCAGTGGATCGTTTTAGACTACGTAAGAGATGAACGTAACTAACGCCATCTGACATGCTGGGCAATATAAAAGTGTTCTACTTAATGCTAATGTAAGTGACAACGCAGTTTTTCCAAAACTGAAACACCTGAAAAATCACGAAAATTTCTCCGAAAATATGGTAGTAGAGTCAAAGTTTTATATGATAAGTCTTTGAAAATCTGGTCATTTTCCAAAAAGCTATATATATCCTGAAAGAGGAAGCTTCGCTGCATCTTCCTACGATAAAAACTCAACTTCGATATTCCCTTGAAAAATTCGATTTTCTAAGGGGGGGGGGGATCCCCTTTATAGACTATTTTATCAAAGGATAACCGCTAATTAGTATACCACAGTTTTAATGAGTATGTGTAATCATTGTTTTGCTTCCTTTCGTCCATGATCATGAACAAAACGAAAACTACTTCTGAGCACGATTACTGCATTATATTCAGAATCAATATTTATTTCTTGCATAACTAAGTCAATCAAAATGATTAAATAAATCGATATTGTCAAATGATAGCTGCTATGTGTAAATATATTATATCACTATAAAACTATAATAAACATGTACTAGGACAATAAAAAAAAAATTAAGATGAGATAAGCGATAGTTATACATACGTTATATGAATAATCTAATATATAAAGAAAGTTTATTTATTCGGTATGCATTTGAACCCTGTAGGAACCAATGCAACTTAACTTTGCATGATCTCTTCTTTCGTCCAGAAGAAGGTCAAGGAATATGTTTCAATCGAAAATTTTGATCTCTGAAATACTTAGTAATCCCATTGTTGGAGCACTACAGTAGATGTTCCATCTAAAATGTCCGTGTGTAACTCTTTTCTCAATAACTCGAGAACGAAATGAAAGCATGCTAAAATATGATTGGTCAGCAAACCGATCAATCAGGTGAATTGATTGGTGGAAATTTTGGAAACTATATTGCAAAAAGATTTCGAATTGAAGTTTGCCTTGAAATACGACTATTCAATAGAGAAGTTTGATTCTATCGAATCACGCAAACCCGATGTTGCCCCATTATTTTGTCTAGAAGGTTCAAACCATATCTCTCACATTAATGAAACTCGCAAAACGAAAAAATCTTTGAGCATAATCCCTACGAGATTAAAATATGAAACATAATGGAGACGTTTTCATTCTAATGAAAGGCTCGCGCCATGCTGAACACCATACAGAAGATAAGAATGGATGTCAGCGACGTAAATATTAGAAGATGGGATATCTTGCTTCTAAATTTTAAAAACTTTTCGGTTTTTCGCTCTCTAAAAGCGAAAAATGCCTGCTCTTCCCCGTATTTTTCGGAAAAGTTTTCCTTGACCTATCCTTCAAATTAGGGTGACCATTAGTCTCTAGCAAGAAAATGAGTTGCGAACTCTAAAATCTTCCAAGCTCTCATTTTTTTTAGCCCTACTTACGCCCCTGAGAGCTACATATCGAAAAACTCTATCGTGGTCTGTGGGAAATGATGGTGATCACTTTTCTTGGTATGAACTTTGAGCGTATTTTGCGACAGCTAAGATCAATAACTTATAGGAAAGCAGAAGACTACCATTTGCTACAAATGGAATACTGAATTTCTCCGGGTAACGTCGGGTACTTCGGATAGGATATAGTAAAATATGGATTTTCTTCTAAAAGATGTTTTTTTATTTTTTATTGCGTTTTATAGAAATTTTTCAAGAATGGATAAATGAAAAATATCGTAAAATTTGGAGAAAACCATATCTATATTTGTCGTAACTAAGAATGGACTAATCTCTATTTATAATCTCACGAGGGAACCTTTTCAACTGTCCAATCGCTTTTGAGTTCGAACTCAGTTTGAAAGATAGACCCCAGTGAGGTATGAAAAGGCCCAAAAGGATAAGTGCCCATAGGCCTTCCGTCCAGAGTTATAGGCATTTTACTGGATTTTTAGCCTATGGCACAGTATATACCAAAAAATCGAATGACAATATTTCGAGCTGAGATTGTGTCCAAAGATAGGTCTATGTACCAATAGAATGCCCTGAAAATTTCAGCTCAAAAGAATGTTCCAATCTCGAGATATTGAACACCCAAAAGCCAAAAAATTCTAGCATCATTCGCGGGATATGCGTGATTTTTGGGAGTTTAATATCCCGAGATTGAAACATTCTTTTGAGCTGAAATTTTCAGGGCATTCTATTGGTACATAGACCTATCGTTGGACGAAATCTCAGCTCGAAATATTGTCATTCGATTTATTGGTATATACTGTGCCATAGGCTAAAAATCCAGTAAAATGCCTATAACTCTGGACAGAAGGCCTATGGGCACTTATCCTTTTGGGCCTTTTCATACCTCACTGGGGTCTATCTTTCACACTGAGTTCGAACTCAAAAGCGATTGGACAGTTGAAAAGGTTCCCTCGTCAGTAGGATAAACAAATAACTAATGAATATCATAATTTACAATATTCCGGATTGATTTTTTTCAAAGACTACACAACAATTATATATTACCCATGTTTACTTAGTTATGTCATTAGTCTACTACTATTATTATATGTCATTGCTAAAGCTAAATATTATAAATCAATAAATTATAGTTGACGATCAAAATACTTTCATCTAATTGGTTCATTTATATCTTTTTTTCTATAGAGTACATTTCCTTTGTTATCATAATTGATCAATAATGATTGGTTCTCATTTTGACAATGTTAATCAAGCATAACTTTTCATATATATATAAACATGAATGTCTATGTCACCTTTAGTATAGACGGAAGCAACATGTCAACAATGAACTGCTTATTAAAAAACGGTATGTATATACTTTACAAAATGATTTATTTTCGGATTTTTCTCTATGAAAGGTGTTATTGAACTGGTCGATTTACCGGATGAATTAATATTAACTATTATGAAAAAAGTTAATCCTCAAGTTTTATTTCTTTGTTCAATGATTAATATCGGTAATTATCGTTTAGAACAACTTGCATTTGATAGATGTCATTCAATTGAGTTAACTTTTGATTATTTTCGAGCGTCACATAAATTACTTATGAAAAGATTTTATTCTAATATCATGCCTCGTATTATTCATGATATTAAATCATTAACAATTAATCTTTATCAGATATCTTCTATTCAAACTTTTGTTGAAAATAACTGCAATAGAACTCTTCCAAATCTGACACATTTGAAAATAATGTTAGGTGCTAAACGTTCTCAAATCGGCACACTTTATACAATAGGTAAATTCTGTTTGATCGAATTTTTTTCAATTGTCTTTGTATATCGCGTTAGTTTATTTTCTGTGAGGAAAAAAAAACAAAGGAAGATTTTTCTCATTTAACAATGTTAAAATCTCTTGTTGATGTTTTTAGGCACAAGAAATTCATTCGTTAGTTTTGTTAAGAAAATGACTACACAACTGAAAATAATGATTGAAAAATTTTTTTTAGATCATATTATTTCTTTTAACATATCAAAAAGCTCTTTTTCTCAATAACTATAACCAGAAAAGAGACAAAAGTCTTGTTGACGTATTCTCCCATCATTATCCAAAATAATCAACTTGACAAATTTCATATTGTGATATTTGTGTACATTTATTTAGGAAACTATCAGATGTTCTCTCTTGAAATGCGTAAACCTCTCTTCGCAATTATACCTCAATTTGTTGCACTACCCGACTGCACTCTTGGGAAAAATGTAGTTACCTTGTGTCGTTCATCACTTATGCATTCTATTCAATCATTAGAATTTGATGAGAATCTTATTTTAACCATAATATTTGCCAATGGTGAATTATACTTCGATCAACTAAGTCGATTAACTCATCTTCGTATAACTTTGTGGGGTTTTCATCAATGCCTCCATTTACTCAATCAATTGGCCTCACAACTTCATTCATTCACAGTAACTATATCAAAGGTTTTTGGGAACGAATTTGATTTAATCTCTGAAATCCGATCGGTAAGTAAGGTTTTTCGATTTGACGTTTCAATGAATTTACTAATTTAGATATCGTGTCCTCATTTAAAACAACTAACAATGATAATGTATAATAATTTTAATAACTACAAACCATGTATTTCCCTTTTACAACGTTTGTCAAATGTTGAATATTTAAAATTATTATTCGCTATAGGTACAGATGGTGTTACACCGAATCATTTTATTGATGGATCTATCTTAGAAAGAGATATTCTTTCATACATGCCTCGTTTACGTCAATTCAATTATCATATTCGTTCAATATTAAAACATGCTTCTCATATTAAAATTGATAAAATTCGCCAAAGTTTTCTTAAAGAGCAACAACCATTTGATTGTGTACTCGATCATTTTAAGAATAACTATGGACAATGTCAAATTTATTCTCTTCCATTTATTGGTACTCGTCTTGATTTTATTTCAAATCGATTTCCACTCTTTGATATTAATAATACATTCTCAAATGTTACTATTTTATTACTATTTGATGATGTTAAACCATTCGAAAATATTTTCTTTGAACGTCTGACTCGAGCCCTACCTCGACTTCGAACACTTGAAATAATTAATCAACTTGAACAACAAGAAAAAAGCCTATCAGTAATGAAAACTAACATCGATTTTCCTCATTTAGCTGTACTTATTTTATACGATATTCATATCGATTATGCTGAACAATTTATTTGTCAAAATCATCTTCCTTCCCTAATCGAACTCACTATTAACAAGGATATATTGTTGGCAACAATCTCTCAAAATCAACAACAAGCAAGAGACAATTGCTCTAGAGTGGCAACATTAAGAACATCGAAGCCATCTTATGAATCAATAGATACTATTCGAAACTTTTTTCCACTAGCTTACTATGTCAAACATGAAAACGAGTGAACTATAATATAACTAATTTATTTAAGTGTCAACTATTTATTTTCATGAATTTTTCTTTTTGAAAAGTCAAACATTATAAATATATTTATTCATTTAAATATAAAAACAAGAAAAATTAGATTTTCTTTTAACGAATAAGTAGAGAAAACATTTTTCTGATTGATTATTTTCTTCTTCATATAGGAATACTTTTAGTAACATAAAGTAACAATTAGTGATTTGTTGTTATAGTTATCAATATTTTAAGAAAAAAAAATGTCAAATATTAAATATGAGAAGATTAGGTAGAATTTATTCATATTATTATATTGAAAGAATATAGAAAATCTTCAGATTCATACATTTTAAATTTATAAGTGAAAACGAAATGCTTAGAAAGAAATATTGCTAGAGATGTGGTTCGTCAACATACATTTTTGCTCTTAAAAACAGGATGAATTCACCATGGAAACGATGTGATAGATTATGCAAATGAAGATGATGATCTAAGACGCAAAGAGAGTGTTGTCTCTTCTAGTCTAATTAGCTTAGAACATCTTCCCAGATAGTAGAAGATGCGTGCTTCCAATCCCGCGAAGAGCATATCTTTCCGTTCTGCCACTGTAACATCTCCTTTCGACCGATTATGTAACTCTATGTGTTCGTAAAATCGAATAGGTGTTCTATTCGATGAACATTGCGAGAAAAAGATAAGTTTTTTTAAATGGTCTATCATAAATATTCATAGAGGAAAAAGTTTACATGAAATAAGTTCATGTTTAACGATTCTTAAAGGGATATCATTTGTGTTTTAGGTGGCAATATCTTTTATAAGTTATCCAAAAGTATGCAAGATCTTTTTTCTTAGTCAAATAGTGTGAAAAAAATCTCATATTCGGAATAGATACATTCCGTTTTTGTTCATATATAAAGATTGAAAAATAGAATGGAACAAATGTTGAACTTTAATAATGAAATATATAAAAAAAACATAAAACGAAAGAATGTCCATTTCTGATGAATGAAAGAACCAAAAACATATGAATAGTTTATTGGTATAACTCTTTTGTGTATCTGTTTTCTTTTTAACAAGATAGATAGGCAATTTTCTGTTTTTTTTTCAAATACAATAAATGATGCACGAACAACATAAACAAATATGAGCACATATCAATGAAAGACAACCATAGAGAGGGAGAGAGAAATATAGAAAAAAAAAACTACATAACAATCTCTGCTTGTTCTTTCGAGAAAGAGCAAAAAATAAAAGTTTTTTTTGTTGCTATCTGTACACTTTTTTCGCAGTACGAAGGCTTTTCGATGTTTCTAGATCGGGTCAGACTATACAGGATTTTCAATCTATTTTGAAACGATTTTCATAGACTTATTCTTCCTCAGTGACTTATTCAGATTTCATGGTTTTCATATTAATCTAACTCACTAAGACTGTACATGTTACCCAAACAATCAGTTTTTGTATAGACGAATGTCTTGCGATAAAATACTGGATAGTTTTGAAAAGGTCATTTTACAGTTTTTGAGAAAAAGCAGATTTGCTGTTATTATTGAAAATGATCTTTGTCGAGTATTTCTCGATACTGTCGTATTCTGACCTCAGACGTATGCAAGGGGGAAATAGCAGACTTGAAGTAGAAAAGTACAATAAAGTACAAAAAGTGCTTCAAAGTAGCTCAAAGTAGCTTAAAGTACTTGAAGTACAAAAGTCTGCTGTTTCCCCCTTGAACAAAGTACAAATTCTATTAGTTTCACGTACTTTATTCCATCTTTGATAGTATCTATGAATATTGAAAATGAAATAATAATAAAGAAATAAATATTTCGATTTATTATCTGACCTAAATCTCTGATAAGATGATTACTCAATTCACCTGCATTATGTACATCAAACCAACCAATTTCT